AATTGTTTAAAGGATATTCTTAGATTGTTTATTTAACTGACTCAAGTTACTAAAGTAAATAATGGTCAAAACTTTCTTTCCCATCCAGTATGCAACAAGCTACAAGCTGATTACCAGGAATGGTACTGATGGAAACCCCAATATCACATTGGAAAAGGTAAAGGTCCATAACATTAACCAGAAATACCCAACACATCATAATCCAACATGTTTCTGTGTCTGGTGTGGATCTGTGTCCTGACGTTTCTCTTCTGTGCATGTCTCCAGGTGCCTTTTGGTACAGACCAGGACGGGATGAATATTCTTGGTCTGGTTGTGTTTGCCATTGTTTTTGGTGTGGCTTTGAGAAAACTGGGAGAGGAAGGAGAAATCCTGATCAAGTTCTTCAACTCGTTCAATGAAGCCACCATGGTGCTGGTCTCCTGGATCATGTGGTAAGAAACTTGCGTAAATGCGAGAGGCTTGTTCTTTGTGTAAGTTCCAGAACCATAATTATTTAATGATCTGTCCATTTCTTTGTCTTTCCTGCACTCACCTCACTGTCTCTCTACAGGTATGCCCCTCTTGGTATCATGTTTCTCGTGGCTGGCAAGATCGTTGAGATGGAGAATGTTGCCTTACTATTTGCCAGTCTGGGCAAATACATAGCCTGCTGTATCATTGGACATGCCATCCATGGCCTCCTCGTGCTGCCGCTCATTTACTTCATCATTACAAGGAAGAACCCATACACCTTCCTCTGGGGGATATTCACAGCTCTGGCAACGGCCTTCGGAACGAGCTCCAGGTAATAAACTGCAAACTTATTTGTTCCCTCTGGTTGTTAATACTAAGGATATTCTGTTCTTAAACACACACACTTAACTCTCTCTACAAACACACATGGAAATACCTTTTCGCTTCGATACGCTCACACATTCCTTGTTTCCTAGCTCTGCCACTCTGCCCCTGATGATGAAGTGTGTGGAGGAAAATAACGGCGTATCCAAGCACATCAGCCGTTTCATCCTGCCCATCGGAGCAACGGTCAACATGGACGGAGCGGCTCTCTTCCAGTGTGTGGCTGCTGTTTTCATCGCTCAGCTGAACAACTATTCACTTAACTTTATCCAAATCATCACCATCCTGTAAGTCCCAAAGCCACTGAAACACAACTAGGGTTACACTGCTGAATACTTATTAGGTGCAAATCTAGTCTGAATAGAATAACATGTGTGTGACAATGCTGTATGGAAGTGAATCTGTGTCTAACTGTGATCATGTTCCCTCTTGATTTGTTAGTGTGACAGCCACAGCATCCAGTGTTGGAGCAGCGGGTATACCTGCTGGTGGTGTGTTGACCCTCGCCATCATCCTGGAGGCCATAGGACTGCCCACCAAAGAAATCTCTCTCATCCTGGCTGTTGACTGGCTTGTGTAAGTACACAACTTCTGGGATTTTATAAAAAACACAGAACACAACAACCAAGCAACAGTTATGACATACCTTGCCAAAGTCTGAGGCAGTTATTTACAGAGCTCTTTCCTTAATATGTCTTATATTAAAGGTTCTGAAATGTTGGCCTCTTTAAAGAAAATGATTTGATAGGTCTTGATAATGTTATACTGATGTGTTGACTGTAAATATTTAAAAGGGGCATCTGAATTTATTGATTTTTTGCATAGCCGAGAACTGGATCACAATAAAAAAAATTCCACCTTGCAGTATTTACATCCATGAGTCTATCTCCATGGTGACCGTCATGCTTTGAGTTTTTGTTAATATTGTATAGTGGGATTACAGCAATGTTCTTCTATGCATTCAAGTCTAGGATGTTTATTTTTTCTAAGTTACTGTTATTTGTACATGATCACAAAACACAGATGGGTATTCATTTTAATTCTATTTGGTCTTAAAAGTCCAAAATGTAACCTTTTGAAACCTGCATAAACACTGTATATAAATGTGGTTTGCCCTCCCTTCTGTGTCTCTTCAGTGACCGTACCTGCACAGTGATTAATGTAGAGGGCGATGCCTTCGGCGCTGGGATCCTGCAGCACTTTGTGGACCGCACGGCCCAACGACAGGAGGGAGCAGAGCTGAGCGAGGTCAGGCTGGAGGGAGACCAATCAGCTGCGGCCCTGGAGAACTCGCCGCTCATTGAGAGGCGAGGTGGGAGGGACAGTGAAGAGAAGAAGTCTCCGTCTGGTGAAAGAGAGTCAGCCATGTAATCCCGCTGCTGATACCATCAATGATACACTCACTTATTTCACACTCCTGCAAAACCTGAGGTTCTTAATCCCTTTTTTTGATGCCCTGTAGAAAAGAGAGGATGGACTATGATGCAATGACACTTTGTCTTACCTCTACACTATTCTGTGCAAAAGAGTTAAGGCGGACATTACAAATCCATCCAGGGACTTTTGTTTCCTTGTTTAGAGGCAGAATTGTACATTAGGCTGGCTACTAATGTTGCATATGGTCGGGCCTCTTCAATTTTTAATGTCAGACATTTTACATTTGGCCAAGTTGTAAACAACAGGTGTTCACCAAATCACTGTGTCAAGGGGCTGTTCTAATTTTATAAAAAAATGAAATGTTACATTTTCACCAATTTGCACACTACTGGTGTTGACCATTAGGGCAGCGTGTTGACTTTGTGGTGGAAAACACAAAAATGTCTGACTTTGAAAGTTGACAGGGACCACATAACTGCTTGCCGTTGGTTTTTCTCAAGAAAAGGTTTTCGTTTTCTCCATCTGGAATCCAGTACCTTTTTTTTTTTTTTTAAATGATTTTTGTTAGTCACCCTCTTCTTTTTTACTTTGTGTATTTTATTTTAAATCGTTAAAGCCCCTTTTTAATGCAGATGTCATGTATTTAAACTTCATGTCTTGTGTTTAAATGTATCATATTTAAAGCATATGAAACACTAGTTTAACTAGGTTATATTCCATATACCCTGCATTGAAATGGCCGAGACTGTCCTCAAGAGAAAAGACACGACATTAGTTGTTATAGACGTTTCATTTTATTTATGTCTGTACGTAGACTCTCTCATGGTGAAAAGCAATAGCACACAAAGGAAATAATATTCTCTTCAGCCGCACAAAAGGACATGCTTGATGCCATTTCAATACCCCTATGCTTAATGAAGGAACTTTTAACTCAAGGGCTTAAAACTACGTGAATATGTACGGAAACAGATTGACCTCCAAGCCTTTCTGCCTCTTCTGATGAACGGTGGTGTGAAGGCTGGCAACACAACCTATGGCTTGAAGACTGTACTTTTAACATTCTGAGACCAAAAATCACCCAAACAAGGAGAACGTTCAACACCTGTTAACTTGTCATTTCCAAGGAGATTTTTTAATTTTTTAACCAAAGCCTACATGTTACTTGCTGTTGCTCTGTGTAGGTACCATCATCTAACCAAGGCACATATGCATGTTAAAGCACAGATTGACATAAGGACATTTGTTTGAAGTTGTGTAAAGCGTGACTTAATGTGATGTGTAAGTCACTAACAAGTCCTTCCACTACAAGGATTTTGCTACATTGATCAAATGACAGCAATGGACTGCTAGTTTGTTTTGATTGTTGGGACCTGAAAACTGAAAGGATTTAAGTCAAAGTTAAGCTTGTCTCCACATAAACCTGTTTGCCTTTGATGGCCATAATCGTTATATATGGGCTTCAGGCCAACATGTATGTCATCGTTAATGCCTCTGATAATTTGTTTAATTTCTATTTATTTCCCTAATCAAAATCCAAAGAGCTATTTTAGCGTACGTTTTGACATGTTAGTTACTCCAAAATTCAGTTACATGTTGTGGGTTGGATTGTAGATGTTAGACTCTTTGTAAAAGGTGATGGAATATTCTTTTTCATATTAGCAGTGGTAGACTTGTACTTATAGCTACACGTTTATTTTTAAATGCGACATGCATTCAATGTGTGCACCATATGACATGTATTAACTGCAGTTGCACTATTGAATGTGTATTACTTCCATCCATATCATTAACTGTTCAAATCAACCAAATTACTGGGATATATTTGACTAATGTTCAATACAAATTCCTCAAGTCTGTATTCTTTTATACTGTTCTAGTTTTGCAGTATTTCCCATGATGGTCAAAAAAGGAAATCACTGCAGTCCTGCGGCCTCATCATACAGTCAAATGTATAATATATTAAGCATTTGGTGGAAGGTTGTAAAGATTTGATCATTCCCTTCTGAGATCTTTCACCATATGGACATATGTCTGGTCTGCGCATATTATCTGTGTTGTGTGTGCACATGGTATTCAAATCTTCCCAGGTTAGTCTGAATTTACTGTTTTAAGGATGTAAACAATAATGGCCTTTTTAAAAAATTTTGGCCATTGTTTTGGTAACTCCGTCAAGTAGGTTATAGTTTTGATTTGTTTGCCAGCAAGATTACAGGAAGGAATACTGGCCCTATTTTTACGAAACTTGGTTGAAGAGTGTTGTCACTTTCATTAACATCGTGAGATAGGGGTGTGTGTTTTAATTGCAAGCACTACAATCTGCAAAGAAAAATACATTTGTTGCCTCATGAAAACTCTAGTTCTAGTCAGTCATTTCCAGATGATATACTATGGCAGCATGCAAGAGGGAAAACTTATTTAATATGTACTGAGATTCCTATTTATTTTAATCCAACAACCCCACACATGTTCATTTATGAACAATGTTGGTTATCCTACAGTAAGTAAGAGTAATGCAAACACACCACCATTGGGACAGTCTGACGTACAAGCGAGTTGCATTCCTGTGTGTCCTGTTATAACCCCCCCCCCCCACCCCCTGAGCTCATGCCATATGGCTGAAGAACTCCCATAATGCTGTTAACAGTGGTTAACACAACTTAGTGCAGAAGCTTAGGAGCTGTAAAGACCAGATAATACAAAAAAGTCGTGTTGTGCCACCTGGTGTTCAAAAGAATTGCAACCCTCCTTTATACTGTGTATTTGCCATCAACCCTCAAAACAAATTAATAAAACATTCATTTATTTTACTAGTTCATCAATTGGGGTTACATCTTAATACATCACACACAAGCAACAACATTATAGGAAACATGTTGTACCCAGAGAAGTTGGTAAGTCTGTACGTTCAACTTCACAATTAAAATATTTGCTTTGATTAATCTCATCCAATTTTAGTAAATAAATAATGGGCGCTCAGTAGTCACACATAACTGAGCTAAGGGTTATTAATCGAGGAAATTCCAGTTAATGTTTTTTACTGAATACTAAGGCCATATATAAATCTCCCCTACTGTCAACAATAACAGGGTTAAGGATGATTTGTTTCTCATTTCACAACATGGTGATGTATTGGCCAAATGGCATAAATATACATTAACATTTATTCACAAACTGTGCAAAATTGAAAGTACAAGTGCATAAATTATTCTGTACATAATCTTAAATCCTGTTTAAGATAAAGTACTTTGCACCTATTAACAAGACAATACATTTTTAGTATGTATCATCTTTACAGCAGTCATGTGTACTTTACAGTACAGATTTAGTGCACCATGTAGTAAAACCAGTCTTCGACCATTTTGAATTTGCCTGATGTAAATGCACTATTGCATTGAACTTAGAAAGGCAGAAAACATTTTTGATTATACATCCAAATACAGATGATGAAGAAATCTTGACCAGGCAGTAGATAATAGTGGTGATATAACTGTTGTAAAATAGAAAGCAAATACAGTTTTTTTGGTACCGTATTAGTTTTCAGGCATCATCTTTTTTCTTTCAATAAAATAAATTGAGTCAACATTTTCAGTGTTTTTAAGTAAACAAATATAATACAACATAAACAGGCTTTGGAGTCTCCATCTCTCATAATTTGCTTCTGTCCAGCCTCTTTTTTGTGGGGTTGGGATACTGGGGGTTCTCAATAACGCCCTCTCCAAACTTGAGCTCCAAGAAGGCTCGGTGGTTGTTGGGGCCGTAGGCGGTGATGCCGGCAAAGGACATGGGCACCAGCGGCTGCAGAAAGTGCTCTGGGAACTCCACATCCTGCTTGTGTTCTGTCCATGTGTCTTTTGTCATGACGCCATTACGCGGATAGAACGGCCACAGGTCAACATGCAGGTGGTTGGCCTCGCTGTACTGGACCCTGTAGAAATCTCCTTCCACTGCACGCTCCCACACATAGCCGTTAGCATCCACAAGAGAGCCTGAGTCGAGGTTCTTCAAGTGATCACAGTTGGGAATATCCTCCAGGTAGATGCCCAGGTCCACATCATAATCCCATGGGATGATGTCCTGATGACGGACAGCGCCCAGAAGAGACCCCCCTTCTAGCCAGTAGCGTACGCCTGAGGTCTCCAGGATGTTGATAACATATTTGGTGGTTTCCCTGAGAGCCCGCAGGCAGCAGGGAGGTGTCCATCGATCCAGATAAAGGTAGTCTGGAGTGTCGTCCTGTACAGTGCCAAAGCAGCGAGGCGTCTCTTTACTACAGCCATACCACTGTTCCTTCCCATCGGACAGCAGGAGTCGCTTTAGACCAAAACTCCTCATGAGCTTCCCGGTGGTCTCCTTTAATCTTGTGTCGGCCTTCCATTGGTTGTGAGCGGAGCTGAAGAGGGGCCGGTGGTTTGCGGCGAAACAGGGGCTCTCCAGCAGCTTGACCTTCCAGCCTCTCAAGGCAGTCTGGACAAAGAGCGAGGAGAAAAGGGGCCGCCCCAGAGGGACAGAGAGGTTAAATAGATCCTCAGTGCGAATGAGGACAACTGCATCTCCTTGTAGAGCCGTACACACACTCCCACTGCTTCCAGACGCAGCCGGCGAGTAGGTGGCTGTCCACTCTCTGAGGTTCACCCGCAGGTGGAGACACTGCACAGCCGATCGAGCCAGCACAGGGGAAGCCACCAGCCTCACAGGCCCCCCACCCTCACCTTCCAGCTCCCTGATGAGCCTTTCAATAGCCCGAGGTTGTTCCAACTCTACTCCATCAGGCACCAGCAGCACAAACTCTGTCTGGACGTGAAACTCAGGCCTGTGAGCTTGCGGTGGCTGGTCCGGGCTGGGGGAGAGCACTAGAAGGCGCGCCCCCTCTGGGAGCAGCAGGGGGGGGTACGGAGACGTGTCAGCTACAGCCAAGAAGGGAAGCTCGGGTCTCTGGCGGAGGAAGGAGTTAGCCACATCCCCAACATAATTCTCAAAGTTTTCAAACTCCCGAAGAAGAACAGTCACGCGTTGGCCACGACTGTGACCCTCACCTCCGCCCACTCCAAGGTCACCTCCAACTCCTACAAGAACCCCTAGGCCTCCCCCCAGACCTGAGGCCGGTAGGGCTGACCTTCTCGTGCCCCTGCCAAGCTCCTTCCTCTTCTCCATCATTTGCTGCTGGGCCCGGGACACGAAGTAGAGGATGAGGAGGTTGAGGAGGATGGCGCCAGATAACAGGCCCTGGCACAGACTGACACGCATGGCAACTGATTTTACTTTCCAGTTTCTCTCAGGAGAAGTACAGATTAGTCCAGTGGTGGGTCTTAAGTCCCCATTAGTGTAACAGTAAAGGGATACCGTTGAAGACAACCTGTGAAAGACAGCAAATATATACAAATGTATTAATTCTGTTTTATTCATAATCCCTGGGTAAGAGAATGTAAGAATATGCCTTGACTGTATGGTACACCTTATGCTCATTTAAAATTGAAACAGAGGACTGCTTTAATTTGAAAAAGACAGCAGTGCACAAAATTATGCTAGCAATAATCTGTTATTTTAAATGTAAAAGTAGGGCAGCCATAGCTTCATGCAAGGATAACTTTCATATATAAACAAGCAGCATTACCAATCTTTAAAAACAGGATGGTAAAATGACAACTTACCTTCATTTGGATGCATAATGTATCTTGTAAATAAACTGCAGTCCATCCCATCATGCATTAGCCATGTTATCAGAAGCATTGACAACGTTAAGCCTATTAACTTTGTTGTACTATATTTGGTATTCATGATGGTCCATTTTAGCATGCTCTGGTAGCAGAGGAGCAAACCAGGCTTAATCAGTGGCAGACAACACAACAATACATATTCATTTTTGAGCTAGTATTTGTACGGTTGTGGTTGAAATAGAGCCTCTAACATCTTATCAAGAAATCGACAGCTAAGTGCACGCAAATCGCATCAAAAAATGCCATTACTATGTAGCCGGACCCAAACACAACCATGAAACCCATCTGCACGAATCACGCTTGCCGAATGCCCAATGTCCGCAGCAACAACAGAAACACTTCCGCCTTCGATTCTTCAAAATAAAAGGGGCATTTTCGAAAACGTATTCCCACAAAAACGTAATTCGAATACTTATCAAAACTCTATTGCTGGGCCAAAGGTTACTTTCACACAATAAATGACAATTATGTTCAACATTGCATTGCTCTCTCGCTCTCTCTCTCTCTTTCTGCAACTGTATTTGGACATTTGTAAAAATAAATATAAATAAACAATACATTAGAAATATGTCATGAAATCTTTGCACTTCTACATACTGCAAATAATATTAAGAGGATGCATGTTGACGATTTTCTTTGTTATTTTGAGAACTGTTGGGATTGTATGGCACACAAAATAGCGGTCGACCTGTATCATCATTGTGTTGTGAAGATGTTTTAATGCAACGTTTTCAAACAGGAAACACAGTTGTGGATAATGTTGGCCAACTTCACTGCCCTCAAAATTCCTGCTCACAAAATGGCAGGAAATGAACTCCCCTAGCGACATGTTCAGTGTGTATTACTGCAAACATGGCCCTTTATTTGTCACCCGCATTGGGTATTTCCAAAAGCATACACAAGGAGGAGGAAAGAAATCCGGGATTTACAGAGTAAAAGTCGCAAACAACATTTAAACATTTGTCTTGAGTTGTATGCATTTAAAACCCATATGTTTGAGTCATTTTAGCATACACTTATAAATAGGAATGTATGATAAATATGGTAAATCGGTAACTAAACAGGCCACCATTTTACAAATATGTATCTTCATTGTCGTGTTTTATTTTGAAGGTTTTAAAAGCGGAAATGTAGTATTTTGCTAACTGAATAGTAATTTTGCTCTGTGCTTGTGAGAAAAGGAAGAAAAGAGGGTCGACTAGTGGAGTGCTGCTGGGCTGGAAGAAGGGTACGAGGTACTTTTCTATTATTATTGTTCGTACACTCTGCCCGTTTCCACCTCCTTATCCTGGCGAAAGGTTGAACGGTTAAAATGGAGGCGGATAGATCCGGCGGAGGACCAAACCCGAACTCCGGAGGTAGCAGCGGAGCGGGGCGCAACCCAAACGGGCCCAAAGCAGCACCGGGCCCGGCGACATCAGCTGCGGCGGCCGGGGTGATGGCAGCAGCGGCAGCGGCAGCAGCCGGGGCCATGCCCGGATCGTCCCAGGCTAGGGAGCTACAGGACGGGGACTCGGGCATGTCGCTTCCTGGGATCCTACACTTCATCCAGTACGAGTGGGGACGCTTCCAGGCCGAGAAATACCGCTGGGAGGCAGAGAGAGACGAACTCAGGGTACATTTGTTTATCATTTAGCCTGCGTTTGCAAATCCGAATAAAGGCCACAGCGGGTATGGCAGGAGCTCCTTTAGTGTCGCTTTGTGACAGCACACATGCACTACAATCAATCAGTTTCGGGATGCCACAATGCTAACTGGCTAACATTACACCCTATCACAGTGTACTGTATTGACTAGGATGTATGATTAATAGACACTACATAACAATGAAGGGACTCTATGACCTCCACTAGATCACCTAAAACCAAACGGGCACTCGTACATTTTAAACATAAATAACATATTTTCAGGAAGCATTATTATGCGCCTTTTGTCCATATAATCAGTTAAGTAACATTTCACTCACAAAGAGTTACACTACCGAGTTAGACTAGAAAGGTCAGCCTTGTTAAGCTTACTTACTTACTACAGCAAGCCTGTTGTCCAGCAAATAATAAGGCAGGTAAACAGAGTTTAGGTGTGGCTACCTTGCAGTGTATCCTTGTTATTAATGCAGATGCACATCCAAAATATGCCTGTACCAGACTCTTTTTAAAGATGGACTGTATTTTTGCAGGACATTTAGCAAAAAAACATTTATTTGTAAATTCACATTAAGATGGCTTTTATGTGCTCTGGGGACACATTTGGTAATATATGGCTTGTCTGTTGAGGTTAAAGATGATAACACATTGCTGTGAGTTTACTTGGAAATCTCTGCATTTGACAATGAGAGTAATGTGAGCATCTGTTGTCAAAGTAGTGTCCTCACTTAAGGGCAGATTCTATTAAAATAGTTAATAGTTAAGTTATTGATCCATCAAACAATTAGCAAACAGAGAGAGGAAGTTATCAGGGGGACAGTTTGGGCTGCTGGCAGTTTTTGCATGAAATCAACTTTTATTACAAAACATCCCTCGGATAAAGTTCCTTGAGGCCCAAATCTAACTTAGTGCTTTGTAGTACATGTGTATCTGGTGGCATTGGAATGATATCCACATTTTGAATAAGGGTCTGTTACACTTAGTCTATAATGCAGTTGAATTTTCTAAGTCAATCGTACTCTTTTTGACTTTCTTACATTATCATTGGTTACTATCCTACAACAACTAAACTATAAAATATATAAACATGCTATGACCTGCTACTTACAAACACACATGCTGGCTGCCCTCAATGCTATTAGTGAACTTGTGTTATTAAAGGTTTTCAGTTGAAGTCTTTAAATGGCAAGAACAATCGATGTTGAACGTGTGAGTCAATGCTATAGAAATGTTCTTGAGCAAGGCATGGGTTCCCTAATTGTCCTTGTTAGAGACTGACAGCAGAAGAAAGAGGGTGTTACTACGCAACACCCCTGAATGCATGCAGCTATAACTGTGTGAGGCAGAAGATTGTGCCTACTCATCAAATTGTTCCAGGATTAAAGCAGGTTTGGTAAACATGCACACATTCAAAGATGTGTTTGAGGGAATGAAGGGATGAACAGTATATATTTTCATTCCTACCCATTTGTGGTCTCTCTCTCTCTCCTGTAACCGCTGTTTGCTTGTAATTACATTGATATATCTTCCGGAGTTTATGAGCTTGACAAAACTACAGATAAAAAAAACCATATCATAGGCTCTCTTCTGATACTCTGCATCCCACTTTGCCCCTGACTCAACCCCATGTAGTTATAAATAGGAGCTGTGATAAAATATGGATGAACAATAACAAACTGGTTTTGCTCGCTGCCTTTAAAGTCGTGTGTGAAGGAGTGGGAATGGAAGGCAGAAGCGGGCCCATCGCTATGTCCAACAAACCATTAGTGCTTGTTATGGAACTTTGTTTGCGTGTGCGTATTTGCTACACATGGTCTGGTTTCATGGGTACAATTAGTACCACGTCCTGTGCTGAGAGAAAGAAGGGATTGCTAGAGTGCCAGGCTGAAAAATTGACCTAGCTTACATTTGAACACCCACAGGCCTTTGGCTTTTGTTGCCAGCATGCTGGCAGTGCTATCAACATGCCAGTTAGGAGCCCCCCTGGGCTATATCCTGTACAGTTAGCACCATACTGTGCATGTATGCTCCTCACATGGCAACTATACATGGCATGTTCAGCTTTTATGGCATTTGTAAAGCTAACAGGACAGGGAAGCTATATGCACCATTTTGCAAAACCATCACCATTATTTGATGACCATGTGAGTCTCTGTGCGGCTGCGTGGATGTCTGTTTTTGTAGCACAGCGCGTCCTAGTGAGACTGTAACACATGTCCTGTCTCCCTGAATGGGTTTTCAGCGTGAAGGGCCACCTGTGCTCTCGCGTCTCATGTGACATGCCAGGAATGAAGACCCTCCCCGCAGTGGGCCAGGTGGGACGTCCCAGCGCAACCATAAGACGGCAGCAAAAGGGACAGGTGGCAGTGGCCTTGTCTCTCTGTTCTTAAGACACACATGAGGCTTCTTCCAGTTTGTTATATCAAATTACATTACCACTGCACTGCCTGAGCAGACTTATTTTAACCTGATACTCATTATAATTTATTATATTAACAGATTGAGCAGCAAAGTCACTCACGTTATTCTATAGAGAACAGGGAACCTGTTACTACCTCTTTCTATTATTCTCATGTTCAGCTAATTAACTGTATTAACCAGTCAGTGTCAGTAGTTGTGTAGAATAGATTACTGGTGACCCAGTTGACATCACTTCCTGTTGAGTGTTGGCCAGGGGGGCCCCTGGGTACACATCTCTAATTAATAGCTCTGCGCGCTCAGCTATGACACAAATATGACATCCATATGTGCCATATTGTTACAGTATGTGCCGGCCTCGTTCACTTACAGAGCTCCTGTTGAACTATTTCCCCCTTATTATAGGTATCTTTTTTATCTGTTTGTAATTCCCTCCTGTTTCTTTCTCTGCTCTTCCCCTGAAATCTGGAAAATCATGATTAGATTTGTTTCCCCTTTTATTTAAAAACGTTCATGACATTCAGTTTATTTGCTTCCCATTGCGTTTCAATCATCTTCAAATCCAACTTAGGCAACCAGCCCAACTTTTTATGTTGTCGTTCTCACGCTGAATACCACACACTATGATATGCTCCATCAAAGCACCCTGTCCCAGAAAAGTTCATTGCTCTACTTGCTGGCTCCTTGATGCTCTTATGGGGATGAAGGGATGAGAAGATGGAGGGTGGCCAGTGGAGGAGGAAAGCTGCCCTTGACCCTGTTCTGGAGCTAGTAAAGGGAGACTGACAGAAAAGGCTAAATGTGTCAGCTCTCCATGCTACAACAAACTCTGGAAAGGTCAGCAGCAGTTGGTCACACCGAGGAAACCCCCCCCCCCACAAGAAAGACAGATCAGATGGCACGAAAGGTTTGCCCGCAACAAGGTTCCTTTGTATGTTGTTAGAATACCAACATAATACAATGAGTAAAACCACAGCATCTGTGTTTGCAGGACTATATCAAATGACTTTGAAGTATGAATTTGTAATTCCTCAACATGGAACAATATTCAGCTTAAGTATATCTTTCTCTAGAATACCTTGATGACCTGACCTTCTCCAGTTTGGTTCTTAATGTATATAACGGGTCAATAAGAACACCGTAACAGCTAATGAATGGAGTTCCTTGTCTCACCTCTGTTGGCCCAGGTCCCACATACGAGTAAAAACAAGCATGTCCCAATCTGAACCAGACAAAGGGCATCATAAAAAAACAACAACAGAGTACCATGCATGTTTTTGTTAGTGGATTCACACAATTGAATACGGGTATTGATTTTGTGATCTTGTTTTCCCTCACAAGCTAATCTGTCAAACTGCATTTGTTCTTGTACCCGGAAAAATCATCTACTCTTTACCACTGTACCTTATTATCCTACCACTTTCAAGGATACAAAGGAAGAGCAAGTAAAACCAGGTCAGAGCCAAATAACTAGTAGTTAAGTAATAGATGGAGAATGACATACAATTGGCCCTTTGACAGACTCATCCCTGTGTTTTGCCTTTATGATTCAGAAAAGGGCAGTTCTTACAGTGTGGGTTCATTGTCATCCTAATAATTGTGTGTGTGCAGCCATGGCTTTATCTTGGGCAATAAAGCAGTGTCGGGGTTTTAAAGTTTTGGACACTCCTATGAACCTGTCCTTCTGGGATCACGGCGCACAGGGGTGTGAGCAGGTTGTAGCTCGTCTGTGTGTATGAGTAGGAGTTTAAGTGTAAGTGCCTTGCCCCTGAAGGATGAAGTAGACACATTCCTTCTAGAGGTGGAAATTACAAAGATCGTTGATGATTTGAATAATTTAGTTTACTAGTCACCAACTGTGTTTGATTGTTTCAGCTAAGCGATTGCAACACTTAAACACATGAACATAAGTAAAGGAGCAAATGACTGTTCATGGTAGGGTGACATTACTATGACTGCTTTTAGTAATCTGCTGTTGGTTTAAACTATTTGTTCAGTTCAGTAAATATGACCTAGCCCTTAATAACATATGCTAACTAGGTGAAGTTCCCAGCATCCACCTATCTGCAGCTAGTTGACCCTCGGATGATTTTAGGTCATGGTCTATGAGGAGGTTTGTTTATCAATGCTGAACTGAAAACAAATCTCTGTAATAGACGTGTTTTTTCGTGTACAGAGGAGCTCATATCTTACTTTGCCTACTCTTGAACTGAATTGGTTTTACCCAAGTTGGTTCTACTTGACCCAAAACAGGCAACACCATCAGAACAGAGCTTTGTAATGATCGACTTTACCCTTATCAATGGAAGCAAACATGTTTGCAAGTTTACTTTGAAGATGACATTATAATGATAGCATGTTAGCGTTTACTATAGATGCACTGATTAGAAGTCTATTTAACTAGTAGACCGACAGAAAAATAATGGCTAATGGTTAACGTCATTTAATGCAAAAATGCCAGTAAATGCTGTTTTCAGTCTCTTCTCTGATTGCTTTTTTCCGACAAAACATCGTCGTTATCTGTATTTCACACCCTCTTAGAGCTGGCCTGCACTATTGACATGCTAGCTTTGACAATTATCCAAAATTCTCAGCTAAGCATATAAAATCACATCGCATTAATCAGGATTACTCAGCAGCAGCAGTAAGGTTTGCTTGGCAGGTTATCCTGTATTACATTCGCCCTCCCAGCCAGTTACATTACTGTCTGTCTGTGTGTGTCTGTGTGTGTGCGTGCTCTTTCCTGGGTGATTGACTACCCTCTCAAGTAGACCGAGTGCCTGCCCCATGAGATAGTGTTTTTAGACTGTTCTAGTTACACCGAACTGTGTATGCGCGTGGGAGCAGACTCGTGGACACAGACAGAGACATGCAGAGGAGAGATGGACTGTAAAACAACGGGTATTAATGCTCCAGCACCACAGAGAGAGAAAGAAAAAGACTGGGAGATGGAGACAATGCAAAACAATGGTCCCTACAATCCCCTGTATGCAAATCCTGAGAGTAGAGACAGGCCTTTTAACCTACTTCTGACTAGGGTTGTAACAGTATGGCATTTTTATAGTATATAGTACAGTATATAGTCGTTTTTCTATTTCTTAGTATTATTATTACTATTATGACCCTTAAAGGGATGAAACCTGAATTATATTAATAAGCTGAATTTCAAATCTGATAAAAGATAGCATGTGACTATAATAATACATACATAGTTATGTAACTAAAACACATTAGTTTAGAATAGATGTTAGCACTATGGTATGTTGAATGGGGTTATTATTAAGAGCTTTACAATAATGTGCTCCTGTCTGTAAAATGTAACGTGCGCACTCACACATACACTCATTTGAGTTTTTTCGATACAGTTTAAAAGCGGATTTACACATTTTGATGAACGTCAATTGTCATACTGTGTTCTCTTGCAGTGGCATTTCAACCCTATTTCTAACTAGGATCTACAGTATGTTGTTTTTTCTTCACATTTTTCTATTCCAACAGAGGCCAGAAACTGCCCACTGTAAATCATGTTTTAAAATGTGTTCTCAAACTTTCTCATCCGCTCCAGGATCCCATTCACACCTTTTGTCAAGTCTTGCATTATGATGCAATACCAAGAGGAAGATCCTGTCTAAACAAAGCCCTCGTTAAATCTCGACAGTGTTATCACCCTTAATTCTGTCATTATCACATTTTTCTTCTTTTCACAAACACTTTAATTGTTTGCCATATGGCAAGAATGGGCAGTGAATATTTTCATTCCTTAAGGTAAGCCTTTTATCGGCTCAGTGAGGAAGGAAGCGGAAGGAAAATTAGAGGGGAAGCACACAAAGGAAGGATGTGTTTTAAAAGAGGGTTTTGAATTTGGCCAGTGTGTGTCTTGTTTTTCTTCTTCTGCAGATGCGCACTGAGGCCTTGGTTAGGAGAAGTTAAAAATAAGAGCCCTGTTCTACAACCCTCTACTTATTCCTCTGGGTTCTCAGAAGTCATGTTTGCTATGCTTGTCACATCAAACTTTTTTCTTCCCATTCAAGGACTCTGCTTGTGATCTTTGTTGATCTAAAAGCGTCTATCTTAAATTAAGATACATATGGATGCAGTTACAGTGTCAATTGAAATGTATTTAATGATGTTGCTGTACTGTATGTGTGTGCCTTTTCTAATGGTACTTTGTGTCCCTTACCATCCTGTATATGTGTTTCAGGCTCAGGTGGCGTTCCTTCAGGGTGAGAGGAAGGGGCAGGAGAACATGAAACAGGACCTGGTGAGGCGGATCAAAATGCTGGAGTACGCCCTGAAACAAGAGAGGTCAGACAAATGGCAGCAAACTCCTTCTTTCTGTCCCTCATGTCTGTTATCCACTCAGACAGCTGTCTCTCATTTGATCATTAAAGGATTCCCTATATTTGCTTGTTGTACTGCCCTCATGTGGTATTTTGTGGGGTTGCAGGGCTAAACACCAGAAGCTTAAGACGGGAAACGACCAGAGTCCCGGAGACAAGAAACCAGAGACAGAGGCAGACCAACGTAAGTGATTACATTATCTGTTACTTTGGCTTTACTTTCAGAAGACACTCAAAGTTCTGCTCATTGCTGTTGCATCACTATTGACTAATCCTTTCTGTAGTTCCCAATGGGCCGGCTGAGTCAGACTCTGAGCCAGCCAATCAGATGTCCTGGAAGGAGGGACGTCAGCTACTACGCAAGTAAGGCCTCGCTGTCATCAGCTCCTTTTGATCTCAGTAATATACTAATATGTTTCATTAGTGCTTTATCATAAGTGTTACATTTGTGATCTACACTCCAATGACTAGATCATATGAATGTGGTTATGTATTCATATGTGGTTTTCCTGTGAATGTAGATATCTTGAGGAGGTGGGTTATTCAGACACCATCCTGGACATGCGGTCTAAGCGTGTGCGCTCGCTGCTCGGGCGGAGCAGCCCCGAGGCTAACGGGCCTGCCCCCATTGAAAGCTCACCTGAGCCCGAGCCTCGGGCGGGGGTGGAGTCGCTGTTGGTCAGACAGATAGAGGAACAAATCAAGAGGTGAGAACCCTACATCATTTTTTTTGTACTTGCTTGTAAAGCGCTTTGAGCTCCAGGAAAAGCGCTATATGAATAACATGTATGATTATTATTATTATTATTATTATTAAATAAGTGTTCCATTTTTATCAGAAAAATGAAAAAACCCACAGTTTGCTACACAAAGCCTAAATCATGATACATCATGTGAATTAAAGATGAACATTTTTAATAGTTTAATCACGATATTCATCTTTAATATCTGGTATAAAACTGCAAACATTTTTCTACCATATCAAACCAATGCATATACTGACATCCTAATTTACTCATCTTGATATGATCGTCTATGCACAGACCTTGAGATATTATGGTATGCTTTTTTGGCAGTGCACACACCGCTCCTCTTAAGATCATCTGACTAAGACCCATTAGAAAAATCTATGTATTAGTTTGTGCAAAATTGCTATAAACAGTGCTATGCCAGAAACTAGAAAATGGTCTAGCAGACAGAAAACCAACAGTAGGCTAAAGTGCAGTTAGGTTATTATCAGTAGGAGAACTTACTTACTGCAGGTGAGACAGAACATGAGTCATCATTGTATCTTGAGGCAGCTCTGTGAGTAGCATTTATCTGTAGCAGAAATGTGAAGACAGTGAAACAAAAAGCACACCCTGATCTCAAAAGCCAACAGAACAAGACGCAGAAAGGATGTCTAAAACGGAGGGCATCCTCCACCATGACAACATGGTAAGATTATAAGAAAAAGTTAGCAGGAATCTATTCAAAAAAGTATTATTTACAAGTAGAAAAGTAAATGAAAAAGCACGTGTATCCATAAAACTTTTCTACAATAATAATATTTATTAAAAAGCTAAACTGTAATGAAGACTGCTGTGGCCAAACTTCTTATAATATGGTATTATATATAAATAAGTATAATTGAGGTCAACCTGTATTGTCCTGCATTATCTTTTTGTCCTTTTTGACTGAAAAAGTTTGTTTGCATTTGTAGGAACGCGGGCAAGGAAAACTCTAAGGAACATCTGGGCAGCTCGGTGCTCGATAAAATCCCCTTCCTGCATGGCTGCGAGGACGACGATGAAGACGACAGTGACGAGGAAGATGACTTTCAAGGCATGGCCACTGACTGCATTGATGGACCGCGCAAGAACAAAAAGTCCCGTGTAAAGGTAAGATGTGAGATTTAGAAATGAAGTTGGGAAGACGAGGAACATCTGAATGTCTTAACGCAAACTTTATTCATGACTCGTCACATTATGAACGCTCTCCTCTCTCTTCTCATGTCCAGTCGGAGCCCATGACCACGGACCTGGACCCGGAGGATGAGGAGGACGAAGACGACTCGGAAGATGCCCTCAGTGAATTTGACTTCCTGGGCTCGGGGGAGGATGGGGAGGGGGCGGGAGAGGCCCGGATCTCGGGGGACGGACGGGAGCTAGGTACGCTGTTGCCATAGCAACATCATCAGCACTGCCAGAATCACTGCCACCAGTGTATCTGTCTTTTTTGCGCCCCACCCCTCCCCCTCCCTGCTCACTTTTTTTATCTTTTACTTCTCATTGTGTCCTGGCATCTCTTCTTGTCAATAAAACCGACCTCTTTTCCCAACCACCTGTCTCTCTGTCCTGTTTCACGAGCTTGTCAGTCTGTGACTCTTTAGAGTTGTGTAGCCGCCACCTTTGTCCGTAGATGTATTTTGTGTGGTGCAGGGTGGGGTCATTTCAAAGGTTGTCACGCATGCTGCCCTTTTTTCTACGCGCACATTTCATTATTTGAGTCATATTTACGCTGTGACCCTGTGCTCTTTTTAAAGTCATTCTTATTGAAGAGTCATTCAAATTGTATGGGTGTTTGTTTTGCATTTAAAGAATGAAGTCTATTTTTTTGCCCTCTGTCTACATCCGTCTGTCTCTTATCTGTCTGCTGGCCTCTCCATCCTTCCTCCGCCCATCTGCATGACTGGATGTTTTGTGTCTCTCTCCTCTTGCCGGGTTCAGAGAACCGCAGGAACAAGTTACAAGGCATGATGTCGGACTTCCCCCCTAAACCCAACCCGCCCCCCTCCGTATCGGGACAAGCTCGCTCCGGGGAAGGTAAGACCCCTCCCACCATTATGCCCCATCAAAGACCTTAGACTTTCCTCTACTGCCCTACACGCATGATTGTAGATTAAATGCCAGACAACACATTTAGATGCTGTCTTGTTCCATTTTAAAACCTGCGTGGGGTAGACTTACAAAACACCTATAAATAAATCCGCTGGTACATTATGTGGGAGTAAAGAAAACAAGATGACTGGACTCTTGCCTGGGAGATTTATTGCTCTATTTTCCATTCTCTTTTCCTAAGCCTGTCTTTATCAGGCAGTGATGTTTTTTTCGGGTAACTTTTGTGAACTTCCACCCCCAAACCTGCAGGTGGAGCCCTGGGTTTTTCCTCTGACGTCTTCATTATGGATGCCGTCGGGGGAGGGGACATGAACCTGGGTGAACTGGCTGATCTCACCGTTGCCAATGACAACGATCTCTCCATGGATGTAATTACATATATCTACTGGTCAATACATGGGACGTAATCCAACATACATGTGCACACTCGGAATATGTGACTCTTTTTGAACGTGTGTCCCGTCAGATGCAGGATAACAGAGACGAGTTTAAGAAGACATGGAACCCTCGTTTCACACTACGCAGCCACTTCGATGCCATCCGCGCTTTGACCTTTCACCCCAGCCAAGCAGTGCTACTCACAGCCTCCGAGGATGGAACACTAAAACTGTGGAACCTCAACAAGTCCATGCACTCTAAAAAGTAAGAATCCAACCCCTTTATTTTAAGAGTAGGAATAATAACGTGCAAACGTAAAATCAAACATAGCAAAGAAATAAAACTAAGAATGAAATTTAAAAGACTGTCCCTTCACAGGAACGCAGCATTGGATGTTGAGCCCATCTACACATTTAGAGCACACAGGTGAGTACAAATACAAATGTTGTAAATGGACTGTACTTATATAGCGCTTTATCCAGTCTTTACGACCCCTCAAAGCACTTTACATACTACAAGTCATTCACCCTTTCACACCCATGCATACAGAGCAGTGTACCATGCTCTAGGAACTAACATTCATACACATTCACACACCATCCCTCGTAGCCACAGTCGCCCACTGTGTCACTGACGCACCCAGATGCAGTGCAAACACTCTCTCTCTCTTTCTGTCCAGTGGAGCTGCTCTGTCGCTCTCCATGGGCGAGGACGGAGAATCCTGCTACAGCGGGGGTCTGGATGGAGCTGTCAGATGTTGGAAGATGCCCGACCTCAATGTGGATCCTTATGATAACTACGGTCAGCCATTCTCAACTGCAGATGGATAAGAATATTCAAATTTTAGATTTTCCCTTTTTTAACGTGTGTTTGTTTATCCAGATCCGGGCATCGAGAGCAGTGTACTAGTCGGTCACGAGGACAGCGTGTGGGGTCTAACATTCTCAGCAGTTCACCATCGTCTTGCCTCATGCTCAGCCGATGGCACCATTCGCATCTGGGACCCTCAGAACTCAGCTCCCTGTCTGTCTGTCTTCAATAAAGAAAGAGGTAGACATTTATGTGGAGTGTGTAGACATGCTTTTGAGCTTTGCATTGCGTCCATGACTCACAACTTCAACCTCCTCCTGTCTTCTCCCAGAGCACGGCACACCCACATCAGTAGCATTTGTGGCCACTGACCCCAACCAGGTGGTGGTGTCATTCGACGCTGGAGAGACACTGCTCTATGACCTCAACGCGGAGCAAAGCATCATTGCGCTAGAGACACAGACCAAGGATGGTATGTTCAGGACCCTATTTGTTCTAGCGTAATATTGGTCACTGTTGAGATACGTTAAAAAATAAATAGTTAAATGAGCAGATAAAACAACAATCGAGTGATTTTTCTCCCTTCGCAGGCAGTGAGCTGATCAATCGTGTTGTCAGTCACCCATCTGAGCCCGTCTCCATCACTGCCCATGAGAACCGCACCATCCGTTTCATGGACAACAAGACAGGTATCTGCAGGTCTTTTGTCTGTAGACTCGTCAGTTGATTCCTTCTTTCGCCTCTCTTTTTATTTTATAGTATGTGACTGGGTCTAAATGAGCTTGCTTTGTGTGTCCCTACAGGTAAAGTTGTCCACTCAATGGTGGCTCACCTGGATGCCGTCACCTGTCTCACTACGGACCCTAACGGCACTTACCTCATCTCCGGCAGTGAGTACTTATTTAGCTGCCTACACCTTACAGGCTTCCTCTACAGTAAAGTCAACCTTTATAATTTATTTCATTTAAAAAAAATACCCTCTTCTCCTCTGCACACTTTATTCACAATCAAAAAAGGTTATTTATACCCCACCTTTACCTGTATAACACAATACATGTTTTAGATAAAACAAAAATAATTAGAAGGCCTCAGTACAATCTGCGATCTCGGTTAAAATGACAATGTAATGCATTGAAGAAGAAACACTAAGTCTACCTTGTAAGACAATATAAGGGGATCCTGCACCTTGCATTCCTCAGGGATCTTTGCACCTAATAAGCTGTTTCCTCTGCTTCCCCCTTTCCTCTGCCCCCCCCCCCCCCTTTCCTCTGCCCCCTGCAGGCCACGACTGCTCGGTGCGCCTGTGGATGCTGGATAACAGGACGTGCGTGCAGGAGATCACGGCTCACAGGAAGAAGCACGACGAGGCCATCCATGACGTAGCCTTCCACTCTTCACAGCCCTTTATCGCCAGCGCCGGCGCAGATGCACTTGCCAAGATCTTTGTCTGAAAACATTCTGCTGTCATTCTGGTGAGATAGGGGGGTTCATTTTTCTTCAAGTCTTTAACAGGAAGCCCGTATTACACACTGGTGGTGTGGAGTTTGATAGAAGCATATTTAACAGCCAGTTGGGGGTTTATTGAAAAGCTATTGAGTTGCATTTTGGGAATTGTATTTTCTTTAGGTCTAAAATTGCATGTATAGCCTACTGTAAATCTGCAGCGGACCTCAACAGATTTCCCATTCCCACGTTAAGGCTATATAAAAAAACTGAACTTCACAAAATTCTAATCTGGTTATTTTTTTTTAATGATCTATGGCTTCCATTTTCCAACCTATAGTTGTGACATGATTACTTTCCCCCTAACTTTATTGATGTGGTGTGACTTCTTATTTGTTTGATTTTTACAACTCTAAATGACCAATTGATAAATGTTTTGAGCCTAATGTCTTCTGCCTTTCATGATATGTCATGAGGAGTTGTGAACGGCTGTCGGCCTAACTGTTTGTTTCTGCATTTTTAGAGTCCTACATAAACAACTGGGCGAAAAGAGACTGAAGACGAGAGAACACATTTCAACTGCTTACACACACACATACATACATACATACACACACACACACACACACACACACTTTTCCTGCACCCCACTGGTTGGGTCATCGCCACAGGTCGTCACCTCCCTTCAATTACTCACTATTCTCTGATGCCTCAGTGACTTCTTGTTATACCAATCACACTGCTTTTTTTTATAAAATCCCAATCGCTCTGTTTCAAATAATAATCTTTGGAGAAACACTTTTTCTACACTACAATATTCTGTTCTTTTGATTTTATTTCATTCAACCTTCCGACGCACTACTCACATTTCACAGAGAAACCACAGCTTGCACTGCACATCGCACACGATGCAGAAATGCACCTCAACATTAACAAATTGCTTGTGGCTAGCATACATATGTAGGCATGACTAATAACAGTTAAGTTTCCCAGTGTGGGCGGAAAACACCTGCCCAACATCTACATTGGGATTCAATGTATTACATTCCAAAGACTCCAGGTAGAGCGTGTGTGGTGGCAATTTTCGAGGTTGGAGAATGTTAAAGTTGTCTATGATGTGAGGAAACATTAGACAGTTGCTAACCAGTGTTGAACAAATAGCTTTAATTTCAGCTTTATGGCCAAGTCTCATTGTATGTCCGAGTATTATAGCATCCCCATGATTCAGCCTCTAATTATGTGTGTGTGTGTGAGATAAAATGACACTGCTGTACAAGATTAATGAACGTAACTCCACAATCATGGTACATTTCTACAGATGGTCAGTGTGAACTCTGCAGACCGATGCTCTCACACCACATTTACTAGCTACAGATGGGTATCATACAAGTACAGTTCGTGTCCGCAGAGATACAGGGGTAGTGAGGCCAGTCTGTCTCAACAAATGACGCCGTTTGTGTCATTTGGTGCTTTCCACTGAACACTGTAAGAGTGCGTGTTTGAATATGCACTAGTTAAATCACGGTGCTATGAAAGACCTTGTCAGTCTTGAGTCAGAATCAGGGACCTACTTTGTGTGTACATGTGAGAAAGAGAGACTGTGTTTCTCACTCAACGGGCTAAAGAGTGAACATGCTTTTTAAATGACATTTCATTGTTAAATCATTTCAATACTTGTGGTCTGATTTCAGAATTGAAGTTCAGTGTTCATTTCTCTCATTGAAGGTTTGCGAGTAAGGTTGGCAGTGATCGTTTCAGGTTTGAGGAGAGCTGATGATAGTTGCATTAAGGAAAATGATTCCTCAGATGAGAGCTCTTCAGATCGTCTTTTTCATTTCATCCTGAAGTGAGTGCCAGTATGTAGGCAGTGCTTGTTTCTGGCGTGCTGTAATTTAATCAGGCTTTTAAAAAACAAAGTTTGACATTACCTTCACTTGTGTGTTGAGGTGAGGATCCCTCGTGTTGATTTGACGTGCATCAGTAGCACAGTAGCACATTTCCCATGAGAGCTAATGATGTGAAGCTGGTCTCTTTCAGAAGAGGCATGCTGGGAGAAATAGCCTCAGGAGGAGAAAGAAAAGGTCCCTTTTAAAAAAAAAGATGAGTTGATTTTTACGATGTGTGGGTGTCAGTTTATATAAGTAACATGACTCAAAATCAGTCTCGCCGATGTGTTACTGTTGCTGCTGATGTTGAACAAAACTCAGAACATTTGATTTAGGTGGAAAACAAGTTCCTTTGAGACACTCCTCGTCTATCTGTCTGTCCTGTAGTTATTTCTGATAACTGCAGGACACTTGGTTTGCTTTAGGTAAGAGTAGCCCTTTAAGAGCTGACCTGACTTCAAATTACTTGAGTCATTTTATCTTATTGTCTTTAGAGGAAAAATACAATTAGATGTTCAATCAGTTGGTTAAGGGGCATCCTCCACATTTTTAAGACTACAGGGTCACACTACGGCTCAGAGTTCAGACCCAAGGGTTCAATGTTGCCTAGAGGTAAACACTCTGTTCCTATCACTTTGGACAAGAGCATTCATAGTTCTGATTTGGTAGAGTGTGCTGTTCAAGATCTGGGTTCGACTATATTATAGTACTGCTGCTGGAAATAACGTCCTATTATCACATTAAACTACTTTTTGGCTCCACTTTGCACTACATCTAAGTATGGATGCTTCTGTTGAAGAGTGGTAACAGACAGGGTGCATCAAATCATGTTTTACAGGCAATTACTTTACATTAAGGAGTAAATACTACAATGGTTGAACCCGCTGTGGCTCACAGTTATTGGAGAGTGAGAGTAACTGATGGCCCCTTTCTCAGAATAAAGACAAATCAGTATGACACATCAAAAAAGAAATTGAAACAGAAGTTGTAAATGATGACTAGAGATGCCATTACGTGCTGTAAATGTCCATCATTTCCTTGTTTTTTTTCTTGCATTTCTTTTCCTTGATTATGAATATGATTATTAAGATGTAAGAATACTGTAGTATCATAAGTGAATCATTCTTCCTGGCTAGGCAGAGAACTTGCTTGTGATTGATAATGACAATGTATAACTTGTAAAAAAGCAAAAATGATTAAAAAACATGAAAAATTCAGAAAATAAGTTAAAAAAAATCTGTTACCAGTCAGAGGCCAAGGTAAAGGACTCTCTTTTCTTTGTGTTTTTATTTTTTTATTAGCAATTTATCACTGTGTGATATTTTGTACATCATATTAAGCTGTATTCAAACTATTTCCTCTAACTACAAGGGATAAGAGACCTGCTTTTTATTAATTTTGTTTTATTATATATTTTTGAACTGCATTCTAGCTTGTATCAAATGACTTTCTCTTTTTGTTTACGGGTCCCCTGTTGTATGTCATTAAGGAAGAAAAAAGCAAAAAATGAAGTTTTTGTACAGTGAACTGAGAGTTGTGTTTGTATTGTCTTTTTTCCCTTCTAGTTAGCTTATGAGACTTTCAAAAGAACTAGACGCATGAAAGTATCGCTTACACATACAAATACCTACATAATCAAACACATACACATCTTTTTTTGTATGGTCTTCTCCATTTCATAAAGTTCAGTTACCATGTTAAAACTTTTATAACATACACTAACTCCCAAGTCTATTAATATGCAGCTATTTGTCTTTTCCAAAGTCAAGAATGCCCAGTGAACATCCTACTGCTGTTTTCAAAGGCTGAGTATCTTTATCTTGATTTGTAAAATTGATGTTCCCCTTTTAAAAGCAACCATCCAAGATCACATTTGATAAATGAAATTACTGGAAATAATGCAGTGGCCTGGTTTTTAAAGAGTCCATCTCTGCTTTTCCACTTCTTGGCACAGGTGCTGTATCAGCTACTGAGAACCAAGAATGAATAATCAATTGAGCTTTTTCTCCACTACATGAAATGTTTATAATGCAACAAATAGGTTTACATATATTTGTGAAAATTGTGCTGTAGTCCCCCCTAATGGAATATGCTCTCATATCCCTTCTCCTTACCTATATACATTTTTTAAATGAGACCAAACACCGAGTAAAAAATAAACAAAGCAGCACTACGGATACATTTCTATTGAGGATCATTCATTCAATTTCCACCTATAGTAAACAGTGCCCTCTTGTGGTGGATAGTAGCATCCTAGCAAACATTTGCAGCTGTAAAGTTGAGTTTTCCCGTCAAACTCCGAAGGGTGCAGTTGCATGTGGTTCATCAGTGTTAATGAAATGGTGAGAATGTTTGCCACCAAGTTATTATTAATCTGCATGCTTTTAATGTAATACATTGATTAGTGGTGCGCACAGTCATGCTGATGATTGAATTAACCCAGTATAGCATATCCTGGTGTGTGCAAAGTACCAGCTAAATTCCCCATTTTACTGAAACTTGCAGTCAACTTGCATGAAAACAACTTCAGGGTTAAGTAATTAGGTGTGGTCTCATTCTGCATAGGTGTGTCACTAACATATGCAAAGAAAAAAATGTGTTACAAAGCCTAAATAAGGCTGGAAATTGAGTTTTACAGAGGGATAGAAAGAGGCTTATGCAGTAAAAAGAAGAAGTGGGAGGGTTTGCGAGTTTCGAGCTGCCCCTTAGGCAGGATCTTTGCTGACCTACACTCAGGGAGGGAGCAAACAAGACACACATTACCCCAAAGCAAGGAAGAGGAAAGATAGAAAGAGGAAAAGGGAGGCGGGAGAAACCAGGAGTCAAAGGGCGGGACTTTCTGGCTGGCCATTGGCTTCAGGCTGTGTCAGTCATTTCACTTCCTCCCTGGCTTTGGCAAGATCACAGATGAGAGAACAGGAGGGAGGGGGAGTGGGAGGTACCCTCACGCGGCTCATTCTCTTGTGTGCTTTTTCACCAAAAAGACTGAACTGGGGCTGAAACTGAAACAGGGCAAGACTCGTAAAAGGAGTGCAGTCTCTTGCTCTCCTTCATTCTCACAGTTTCCTGTTTAAGGAGGCCATTTTGTAACTCAGCCTGAAGGAAAGGCACAACAAAGTTTGGCATTATTTTTGTTTCTCGTCTCTCCCACACCCGGGAGTTTCACAATCAAGTTTGGACTTTCTCCCCTGCAGAGCAGCTACTTTGGACGAGTGAGAGGGGAAGGAGGGAAGACGAGGGATGAGACCCTGATACACACTGCTCATGCCTGTCATGCAAGGACTATAACAGGAGTTTTATAACAAGAGCGCTCGGAAGAAGTGGCAGAAAGGAAAAAAAACAACTTCCTGGATAAGGGTTTCTTCCTTGATCCACTAGAAGGGAGCGGACACAGGACGCAGAGGAACCGGGACTCTGCTCAGTGTGTGTGTGTGTGTGTGTGTGTATGTATGTCCATGTGTCAGCGTGTGCATCCCTCTCTCATCCACTGAGACGGTTTCAAATGAGTGAGGGTTTCCTGGGAACTGTACACTGTACCTGGGAGTGTGTTTGTATGTAGAGCGCTTCAGGCATTGACACAGGATGGCTAACGTTAGCCCTTGTATGTCCTCGGGGGCCATGGCCCAGGTCTTCTTTCCTCCTGGGGGCTCCTCACCTCCAGGGTCTGCCGTGATGCAGCCAGGGACCCCCATATCCATGCCCTCTTTGCCCGTTCAGGGGGGGTTTCCTATGATGGACCTGACAACAGTGCAGATTCCTGGGGGGGCTGTGATACCCCCTCTTCCTCCCACTCTTGCAGGGGTCTCCTTCATCATCCAGATCGGCCTGACCAGAGAATCTGTCCTGATGCCCCAGAGCTCTGACCTGGCCTATGTGAAACAGATGGCCTGCTCCATTGTTGACACCAAGGTAGGACAAGTGTACATGTGGGGGTTAATGCTTCTCCAGGTGGAAAGCTGTTTATTTTGTAAAGCTGTCATAATACACGCAGCCTGTTTGTCAGATGACCAGTTTAGGTTCTTTCTCTTTCAACCTCTGTTTCTGTGTCCCATTCTCAAAAAATAATGTTGCTCTCATAGGTAAATAAAGGGGTTAAAAATGCCAGCAAACAAAGTGTTCGAGCAGAAAGCGGTGCCAGACATTGACAGAATGTCACAGTTCTGCTCCGCCCTAATTACAGCAATTAGAATGTTTCCCTCACTCAGTTGGAAAAATAACTTTGCCTTCAATTAGGCTTTGTTATGCCCCCACCAGCCCCACACACTGGCAGATGGCTGTATGGGCTCAGTGTTTGAGAAAGTTTCATCTGGATGTTCATTCGTGCTGTTCATGAAACAGGAAACGTAGGTCCGTAACACTTGCATTGAACCCTTTTACCTAAATGCATGTCTCAACACGCAGCTGGACTAAAGCAAGCCAGTATCCAAGTGTTGAGGAGCACCTTAACCTTCCATTGTCAAACAGAAGTGTGAAGACATTAACTGAACAGTCATGAGCCAACGCAGGTCTAGTGGGATCTTTCATTTATATATATTTATATAATCCAAATGTGTGTCAGAAGACCTAAGTCCTTTCTTTGTGATGGTCCTGAGTCTTCTTAACATCTCCTCAGATGTCAGGAACATCACTTTTAAGTTGTAGCTTTGTATTGCCAAAGATGTCAAAGGACTGATCACCTCGCCTGGGGACAAGGCCATAAATCAGGCCTTACTATTTCTTCAGCCTGTCCAAACTATTTAAATGATGGTCCTTTTGTTTAGTTTAGTTTATTTAGTTTAGTATTTTTTCAAATATATCAACAGCATTAGTTATAAGAAAATATATAAAATAAAAAGGAGGAAAGACAAGTAGATACCGGTGTGAGGATAAAAGAGAACAATAAACAACACAGTCCTTCTGGGAAGCACTCTTTTAATGCCTTGGTTTTACGCGTCTCTGTGGATGTTCATATGTATTCTACACTTACAATGTTTTACTTTTGTTACATTTATATCTTAACGATGTAGCTGTATTTCAAATGTATTATTCAGCATTTTAACTTAAATGATGATCGCAATAATTTGTTGAAATGTTTTTCTTTATTAAACTGCAAAACAAAACTTCAGAACCAACATATGCTAGAGTTGGGGAGGGAGGGAGAAGTACTGACATCCTCTTTGCAACAGGAAGCATCAAGTGTTATGTAAAATATGGTCTTCACAGTATTTGAGAACCAACAGGACATAATCATTCAACTATAGAGCAGCAACGTTTCACCTTATTTATCTATAGAAGAAAACACATGCAGGATATAACGTAACGCTGTTGCAGTTGTTTGAGCAGGCCATGCATTTTGATCCTCCAATTAAAGGTGTTCAGATTAGCAGATTTCCAGAGCCTAAGAGCAGCTTTGCAAAACCGCACACAATTGCAAATCCTCTAGGAAATATTGTTAGCTGTCTCCAAACAGCTGACCCACTCTGCTAATCTGTTCCTGTGCACAACAGTCTTTGCTTTCCCTTCCTAAATAATTGGTTCTCTAGCTGTCATGTACTTGGTTGAAGTTAGCGAGGTAATTCAGCTGTACTGTGCATACAATTCTGGATAACTGCACAGTTTAGAATGACAACAGTAGCTGCAGTCTGGCATGATTTCTAATGGTGTTTTCATACGATATGATATGGTTAAACCAGGTGTTGCGAACCATCTTCAAAATGTAAACAGCAATGTCTCTGTACAGCTCACTTGTGGCTTCATCTTCTCATCCTCTTTTTTCTGTTTACTCAAACTAACCCAAACTCTTCTGTGTGATGTAAGAGAGGTTGTTGTTGGGACATTTAAAACGCTAATCCTCTATGCAATACACTAGAGCAGGGGTGTCAAACTCAATTTCATGGCGGGCCACATTCGCATAAAGGTTGCACTCAAAGGGCCGGTTGTAACTATATAAATATATATATATAAAATAATGTATTATGTTACATTATTGCCTCTGAATTGGATTATTATAGGATAATAACTTAGTAATTAACTACGTCTGAAAGCAGAAGTCCAGGGCAAATAATTGCAAGTCTCTTCGGTGCGCATGTCACAAAACGAGATGCATTGCAGGACATGTAGTTTATGGGCAACCTGCTTCTGTAAAGCGGCATGTAACCGTATAATAAACGTATTATATTGTTTGCAACCTCTTGCGGGGCCACATCAAATTAAGTCGCGGGCCGGATTTGGCCCCCGGGCCTTGAGTTTGAGACCCCTGCATTAGAGTAACATGGGACCAAAACACAATTGGAAAGCTAATAAAATACGGGATGTTCTTTTTTTTTTTGTCAGGGAAAGACTCAGATGCAAGGCAGGAAGTAGAAGGGTCAATCTGACATGCAGTAAGACCAGACTTATGGTGATTAATAAACAATATAATAGCCAAATAGAACTGCCATACTCCCACAGCAGTTCTAACACGGTAACAACCTTCTAGCTTTGACTTTCTGTGTTTTTAGACACAGAAAGGAATGTTGATGCCTCTGCAGATTTCTATATATATGTTG